ACTATACATTGTTTAAACCGATCAACTTATTTTAGTTTTCTCTCTCTTTTTTTTTAGCCGTTTTGAGTAGAATTATGGCAGAAGTTGATTTTAGAAACATGATATGATCCATGACCGTTCTTAATATTATGTTTTGTTTTTCTTGGGGTCTCAAAAGCTTTCTTGTGGACGGGATCCCAATCCGGGTGTTCAAGAACAACGAGGCTAACGGCGTTGCTTACCCGAAAAACCAACCAATGAAGATCTACTCGAGTCTTTGGGAAGCTGATGATTGGGCCACACAAGGCGGGAGAGTCAAGATCGATTGGACTAACGCTCCATTCAGCGCTTCCTACAAAAGTTTCAACGATGTGGACTGCTGCAGCCGGACCTCGATATGGGACTGGGTTACCTGTAATGCGAATAGCAACTCGTGGATGTGGACTACGCTTAACGCAAATCAGCTTGGACAGCTGAAGTGGGTGCAAGATGATTATATGATCTATAACTATTGTACAGATTTCAAGAGGTTCCCTCAAGGTTTACCCACGGAATGCAACCACAATTGATCGTATTACCAAGAAAATTCAAGCACTTGATGCTGTTTATTTCTTTCTTTTAATTTTCATCTCATACATGTTGATTTATTTGTTATTCTTTTGAGTTCCAAAGATTTATTTCCCATTTTGGGTAAATTGATTATTTGTTTTGTCATTGTCATAATTTGATTTCTTTGTTGATTGTTTTTTCTTTTCATATCTTAAAATCATAATAAAATTTGATTCGAACTTAACAAGACCAACCTGATAAGTGATAATAGAGCAAAGAAACAGAGTTTTCTGTCATAACACAGAGTAAAACAGAGTATTCAGTTACTTTTGAAAAACAGAGCATTCTGTTACTTTTGGAAAACAGAATAATATTCTGTTACTTTTGAAAACAGAGCAAATAACAGAGCTATCTGTACTGTCAACACATTAACGAATCTGATTTCTCTGTTATTATTATTTTCATTCCTCAGATTTGAGGACCGAACAGAACTTGAAAATTAGGCCCATGGGAAACTTTGGAAACAAAAGAGAGGTTCTCTCACTCTCAGCCAGGAGTGGAAAACAAAAGACGCAAACAAATACGTGAGCTTTGTTCTGTGATACAATGGGCTTTAGAAAGCCCACTAATATCCGAAACCAATAATTTGGTGGAAACACTTTTCCCGTGTAAATAATATAACGACCGTCCAAGATGTAACTGGTCAGTTTTATAGTTATGGACTCTCTTAATAAATTGCATTACTATACTTCTAACCCCCTTGCATGTTCGATAGAATCAGAATATACTAAGTACAATAACAAATGTA